TAAAACCATCAGGAACAGCCTGGCCTATGGGAAGGTGCCCAGGAGTCCCTGCCCAGGGCAAGGGGTGGAATGAGATGGGTTTAAGATCCCTTTAAACCCAAACCATCCTGCATGGAATTCTTAAAAACAGGAGCAGAACTTAATGTCTCAGAATTGAGACTTAACTAATATAATTTTAATTTATCGACCCAACTTTTTACTTACAGACCCAACATCAAGGACCCATTTCAAACATCCAATTTTTAAATTCTTAACCTCAAAAACCCACATATAAAACTCAAAAAGGCATTTTTTATAACAGCCTTCCTTCAAATCCAGAGGTAAGGCTGGCATTTCCAGCATCCTTCAGGCCTCATTGCATGGAACTCACTGGTGTTTCCTCCAGGTTTTCCAAGGTTTCAAACTGAACTCGAGGCAACACTGGTTCCTTTATCCCATCACTTTCCTTAATCCTGTAGAGCCTGTCCCATATTTCAAACTCCTCAGGGGACAAGGACCAGCTCTCGTGGGAGTTTGTTTGCTTTTGGCCTGTGGGGGGAAAAACAACAACAGGAAAATGTTACCTGCTGTAGGAAAAGGGATGCACAGAATGAAAGAACTCGGTGTGGTACCAGGGACAAAAAATAAAATCTTCTCTGAGCCACAACCAAGAGTAGATGCAGAGAATCTGAATCCAGGGACAAGCATCCAAAGAGTGTTAATGTTTTATAAGGATAAATATCATTTAACAGCTGGTTTGGGGCAGGGCATCACATAAAAATAGAGAAAGATATAAATCACTATCCCAAATAATGCCAAAGCCCTTCAACAGCCCTGGCTGGGAAGTGATTGCAAAGAATCAGAGCTGAGAATGGGATTGTGGTCAGGCCAGATGTGTGAAGCTGGGAGAAAAACAATGAAGGGATTTGCCAGGATCTGGGGTGGATCTGCAGCCCAGGCTCTTTTGGGAGTTAATGCCACAGAGGAGGAATCAGGATCTCTCAGCCCTCTCAAGGTCCAGCTGCCAGGGGCTGTGTCTGCACACAGCAAACCCTGAGTCCTGCTCACGTCCTGCTCAGGAGAACCTGGAAAAATGAACCAATTCTGATGTTCCTGAGGCATCACTAAAACATCCCAGAAGATCAACACTGCCATGGAGTATTTCTGACTCAAGTGTGGATGGCACTTTCCTGAAGAGATAACACCCAGTCCAAGGAGCTGGCAGGAGACGAAAAAAGAGACCTGAAGGAAAAGGAAATAACAATTCTCAGAGAAGAATTTGGAATCAGGGAACNCAGCCAGGAATTCCCAATTCCCAATCTCCCATCCATCCCTGCCCTCTGGCACTGGGAGCCATTCCCTGGCTCCTGTCCCTCCATCCCTTGTCCCCAGTCCCTCTGCAGCTCTCCTGGAGCCCCTTCAGGCCCTGCCAGGGGCTCTGAGCTCTCCCAGGACCTTTCTCTCCTCCAGGGGAACATTTTGAATTCCAGTGGGAACATCCCCAGCCTTGGGAGCACTGTCAGTGCCTCCCAGGAGGGCAGGGATGACTTCAGGGAATGTCACTGAACCTTCCAGACAAGAGCTCAGTGTCAGAGCAGCCTGATCACATCAGATCCCATCAGCTCAGGGCACTGCTGCCTCTTCCCCTTTTGTGGAACACTTCTGGTGTCCCTGGACTGGCACCAGCTGGTTCAGTGTAAGAAGGAGCCCAGGAAGCTCTGGAGTTAATTTAAAACCCTGGTGCCAGTGCTGAGTCCAGCCCTGCCAGCGCTTTGCTTCGCCCTGGGAGGCTCCAAAGGGTGAGTGTCACCTTGTGTCACCTCCTGTGCTCTGGGGCACCCTGGGCACGCCAGGGACACCCTGGGAGGAAGGTGAGGAACGAGGAAGCTCCACAGCTGCACCTCTGCCTGCTGGCACAAATGGAGCAGGCTGGAGGCCAACCCAGCTGGGGCTCACCCCAGACAAAAGGAGGCTCAGGGGGCACCTGCTGATTCTGGAACCATTTCCCTCCTCCTGACATCTCAAGCTGCGCCAAGGGAAATTCAGGTTGGATATCAGGGAAAGTTATTTACAGAAAGGGTGATAAAGTTCTGGAATGGCTGTGCAGGGAGGTGGTGCAGTCCCCATCCCTGGGTGTGCTTAACAAAGCCTGGATGTGGCACTGGGTGCCAGGGCTGAGCTGAGCTGTTGGGGCTGGGTGGGACTCGATGGTCTTGGAGGTCTCTCCCAACCTTGGCATTCTGTGATGCTGGGAGTTTGGGGGAATTCTGGGAATTCCCAGGAACTGGGGAGGTGCTGGAGTCACCATCTCTGGATGTGGCACTGGGTGCCAGGGCTCAGTTGGGGCGCTGGGGCTGGGTTGGACTCCATGACCTTGAAGGTCTCTCCCAAGCTGGGCATTCTGTGATTCTGTGCCATCCCTGCCCTCTCCCCCTGACCCCAGCTGGGGACAGGGACTGTCACAGTGTGGGAAATGGATTTGGAAAAATTCTCCAAGCCTGACAGAAGGCTCACACAGTGTACATCTGTATACAAACCTTGAAATAAGAAATGCTGGCTTAAAAATACCATAGAATAAAACAGAAACTGCTGAAAAAAATTAAACTAGATACAAGTTTCAAAGGATGGCATTACAAATAAGACTAAATACCTTAGAGACATAGAACTATGGAAAATGCATTATAGTAAGACCTACAAAGAGTAATTTTAGACAATTAACTTTAAGGCATTTACAATATAGTGTAGCTACAGCTGATAGGCCAAGAAACACTTAGAGTGTATTGTAATTAAGAAAGAGTTGACTTATAATTGTGATAGCATGAATTATAACATCTGTATTGTCTCACTCTTCTGATGAGACTGAAAATAAAATAAAAGTTTTTAAAACACCTCAGTTGCCCCATCTCTGGGTCAGAAAAAGGTATAACCCAACACCAGAGGAGTCAGGAATGTCTCTGGTGGGATGGAGAAGCTTTTCTGAGCTGGCCAGGTCGGATCACAGCCTCCCTCTCACACCCCAGGAGCACGACCACAATGTCTCCATTCTCCTCCTTGATTAGCCCCGGTATTATTCAGGAAACTCTGGCAGCTTAGCAACAGCTTCTGATGACCTAAAAAACCTCCACGTGCTGAAAGGCAACATTTGGGGAGCTCAGCTGGAGGGAAACATAAGGTGGTGAACCACTGAAGCCTCCATCCACCTCTGCACCCCCTTCCTTGTGCCTTGCAAAAGGATTTCTGTATCCATCCCTGTCAGAAAACAAAATTCCCATTCCCAAACAGTTCCCATCCATGTTTGTTTGGCTTAGCTCCTCTTATCCCTTAATTCTTAGGAACAATTGGCTTTTTAGTTCATAAAAAACAAGCTCAAAAAGCCTAAAATAAATCCCCTAAAACAGGCCATGGGCTCCTGCATGACTTTTCTGTCAGCTTTTGATGTACACACAATGCCAAACTCTTCCCAAATCCTGGAACAGCTCTGATATCACTCGTAGTGGCTTTGCTCCTTGGCATTTGGAGCTCCTGTATTTCAGGTCATTCTGTCACAAACTGATACTGGAATCCACTCAGAAAAAACTGATTTAAAGGTGGGTTTTTTCCCCCTTTTTTAAACAGTTTCTGTGGAAAAGATTAGGAATCACAGCACAGCAGTGAGAGACATTTTTAAACCAGATTAAATACACATAATTCTTTTCACAATTACTGTTTTTTTAAATTTTTCATTATTTTTAAACTATTCTAACAGTGCATTCAGCCCCTGGGCAGGTTTCTTACCTGCTGGTGCCTCATCAGCTCCATCATGTCCATGGCCCTGATGAAGAGGTGACAACGATCCGAGTGATCCACCAGGGATGTGGGCAGAGGCTGATTCTGCCAAACGCTCCACTCAGTCAGGGAGAGCTCCCGAGCTGCCCCCTCCTTCTGCAGGGGAAATTGGGATGGGAAAGGACATTTTCAGCAGGGAATTCTTTGCTAAACCTCGCTGTCAGGGACNGCCCTGCATGGCCAGAGGGAGCCCAGGCCCATCTGCAGCAGCCCTGGAGCTGCAGAGGAAAACTCCCCCCTTGTGCAGGATCCGTGCTGCAGCAGAGCCACAGCTGGCACTGCAGGAGGGCTGAGCCCCCCTGGATGGGGCTGGGACACCCCCTGACACACAGGGGGCTCTGACTCTTTCAAATGGGGTTTTTTTGTTGTTGTACTATTGCACTTTTACTATTGCATTTTTGTATTTTTAATATTGCATTGTTGTATTTTTAATTTTCCTGGTAAAGAACTGTTATTCCTGCTCCCATATCTTTGCCTGAGAGCCCCTTAATTTAAAAATTATAATTCATAAGGAGGGAGTTTACATTTTCCATTTCAGGGGAGGCTCCTGCCTTCCTTAGCAGACACCTGGCTTTTCAAACCAAGACAATCCTAAACCAACAAATTTTGGCTTTTTAAATTTCCCAGCTGCTACCTTGTGATCGAACACCACACCCCAGTGCGACAGCATCAGCATTTCAACAATTTTTAACTCTAAAACAAAGGGAAAAAAGCACATCTTATTCTGTCTCCAACCATGGTATTCTTGTAAGAGTGATTCTCCCACCTTAGCAGGTAAATACTTCAGGGGTTGTCCTTTTTTTAGCTTTGCTAGATCAGAATTTAATGCTAGATCTTATCTGTCCTACCTGGAAGAAAAATAAAATTCCCACAGCACGTATTCGCATATTTCCCCAGATTTTTGACATTTTAATTTAGCAGTTGTTAATATAATATAAACAATATAAATTATAATAGCTCTATTTATATATAATATCAGTATATAAATAATTGGTCTATTTTGTTCAGTGTGCATAATTTTGGATCCTCTGGAAACCACTGGACTCCACAGGGATTTACCAACGGCACTCACAGCTCAGCCGCTGCCACACAGTCCATACTCCTGAGGTTATTCACACAATTAATGTGGATCACTAATTATCACTAATTCCTCGTCCCAGCCTCCCCTCTGCTCACCTCCAGCTGCTCCTTCTGGGTGAAGCCCTTGGTGCTCTTGCCCGAGGAGTGTCCCACGAAGGTCATGGCGCGCACGGCCGGGCTGAGCCGCGCCAGCATCTCGGCGATCTCCTGCACGCTGTCCCGGAACGAGGAGAAGATCATCACCCTCGTGTCCCCGGGGCAGCCCTCGCTCCTGTCCTCACCTGCTGCATTTGAAAATGGCAGCTTTTAATAGAATCATCAGTAAAAACGGACAGGGCACCCCCCACAAGTTACAAGTTCACAGCTCTCACAGTCTCAGTTAATGGGAAGAGAAAATGAGCAGAAAATGCTCCAAGATCTACCTTCTTAAAATTCCTCTTTGGATCAAAGCATGCTCTAGTTTTGGAGAACGTGAGAATAAGAATGTCTTTATCTGAGGCACCCTCACTAAAGTCACTTTGAAAAGCTGGGGTTGGATGGGAAGTGTTTTGGAATGAAGTTCACCATGCTGTTGTCTCCATTTCAGGACCCTCAAGACAACAAAACCATGATCCCAGAATCCCAGACTGGTTTGGGTTGGGAGGGATCTTAAATCCCATCCCACCCCTGCCATGGCAGGGACACCTCCCCCTGTGCCAGCTGCTCCAGCCCCAGTGTCCAACCTGGCCTTGGGCACTGCCAGGGATGCAGGGAATGGATGGAACAGAAGGGGCTGGTGCTGTTCCAGGTATGGCTGACGACTTCGGGCATGAATTCCCTCTCTTTCCATCTCAAATTAGGGTTTTTACAGAGGAGGCAAAAGAAGGGAGGCAGGAGGACAGAAAGAACTCTGAATGGGAAGGGAAAAAAAGGAGTGAACTGCATTAAATGCATTGGGGTGCATCCTAAAGTTACAAACACAGAACTGGGAAACAAAGTTCCTAGTAGAAAATATCAGTCATTTCAAAGGTTTGCTGAGAGCAGGGCATCCAAGAGAGAAAAAAAGACAGAAAGAAAGAGGGAAGGGCAGGTCAGAAATTAGCAGAACTCCACAGAGCACAAAGACCCAAACAGGCAAGATAAAAAGTGAACAAGATGCAAAAAAAATGTTATTATTACTCATGTAATATTCCAAAGGCTGGAATCAAGAAGCTGAAACATCTCAAAACCAAAGAGATCTGGGTGATGTCTTCATCAGGATGAAAAAGAAGAGAGAGAGAGAGACAGGTGAATGTAACTGAAAGGTTTGAACTTCAAATTGATACCTCAGATTGTTTATCCTCAGGCTGGATATCAGGATTTTCACACTTGAGGCCCTTAAATGAGTTCATGGAACTCTGCAGCAGGAACTGAGAGGGGCTGCCAGGACAAACTGGGACAGGACCAGCAGGAAAGGTGGTAGCCCCAGGAATGAGCTCCCTATCCCTGTTTTACTCAGCTGTTAGAGCAGTTTATATCAAATCAATAATGAGAATTTATAGGAAGTTTTTACAAAAATCTTGTGGTGAAGTTCTCTAGAGGGGAAGATGCACAAACAATCAAAGCAATAAAGCAGCACAAAGGAGGAAATCAATCAGGAGGATATTCCTTGTTTCCATTCCCAGATTTTCCTGAGCTGTTGGTACTCACCAGAACCTCCCTGTTTCCAGGATCTGAAGTGTTCTATTACAATCTCCTCCAATTTCTTCAATTTTGGATGGCCGTAGACAAATTCCTTTTTCTTTTCCAATGCTGGAAAGGAAATAAAGTAATGAAAGATGTAAATAAACCTGCAACAAGCAGGAAGGTTCACTGAACTTCCTTGCCTTCCACTGTAATTATCTGAGTCAGACCCAAATCCTGATATTGATATTTAGATATTGGTACTAAACAAGACAATAAAATGCTGACAGAAGAACATTTGTTAAACCAAATTTTTGAGAAAGTGCTGGTACTTTTGTTAGTCACACTGGAAAAGACTTGCAGTGAAACAGTTGTATTTTAACCCCCCTTTTAGAGCAAATATAAACCTTCAAACATAGAAAACTTCCTTGAAAGTAGCTAAAACTACTGAGCGAAGAGTGACAGGGAGGGAGAGACAGAACATTGGGAATTCAATATGGAATAAAGAGCAGCAGCCAGGGCAGCACAACTTTTAAACAGGAATATTCTGTCCCTGAGAGGTGAATCCTGACCTGTTGTGCTGTTGCCAGCACTTCCACTCTCAGGAGTCACAGCAGTGTCTGAGAACATGTCCTGAAGGTGCTGGTAGAGCTCCATGAAGTCCTGGTTGCGCCCCAGCTCGCTCTTGGTGCGGGACAATCCTTTGGAGAGAGTTGGAACATCTCAGGATCCCATTTCCTTTCCCAAACTCTGCCTTTAGCAAACCTCACTGTGCCCAGCTCTGGCCCCTCAGCTTGGGAAGGACCTTGGGACACTGAGCACGTCCAGAGGGGACAGCGAGGCTGGAGAGGGGACACAAACCCTGTGAGGAGCCCCTGAGGGAGCTGGGGGTGCTCAGCCTGCAGAAAAGGAGACTCAGGGGTGTCCCCATCGCTCTGCACAGCTCCTGAAAGGTGCCTGTGCTCAGCTGGGGCTGGGCTCTGTCTGCAGCAGCACTGACACAGCCAGAGCACACAGCCTNCTGATCCCAGGGACAGAGCCCGTGCCCGGCCGTGCATTTTGGGGCCATTTTGGTTGATCTTGGGTGCAGGCCTGGCTGGGCTCTGGTGCTGCCCAAGGTGGATCCATGGAGGAGATGCTTTGGATAAATCCCTGCTTTATTCTGGAGCTCCATCCAGCCTCTGCTCTGGGGCAGCCTCATCAGAGGGACCCACAGGGATCACAGAATCAGGAATATCCTGGGTGGGAAGGGACCCACAAAGACCACCCAGCCCAACCCCTGTGCCAGACCCCCAACAACCCCACCCTGGGCATCCCTGGCAGTGCTGTCCAAACCCTCCTGGAGCTCTGGCAGCCTCAGGCTGTGCCCATTCCCTGTTCCTGAGTCCCGTTTCCAGCCAGCCCCACCAGGGCACGTGGGAACAGCAATGACTTCAGTGCTGTTCCAGCTGCCTGGGACAGGGACAAGATGATCCCCTGATACCAGCCCAGGTGAGCCATGCTGCAACCCTGCCAGGCAAGGAGCCTGCAGCAGCTGCCAGGGCCTGGGAACAGAGCATTCCCAGAGCTCTGGGCAGGATGGTGGCTGCCCACAACATTTCCCAAACACAGAGAGAGGGACCTGGACAAACATGAGCGCTGCCATCAGAGACTGGAGCACAGGGAGAACATTCCCATCCTCAGGAGGCTGATAAGGCTCAGGGATCAGGGCTGGCAATCAGCACATCCTGCAGTCCCTGGCACAGCCTCTCCCTCCATGGGAAGCAGCTGCTGCTGTCCCATGGGAAATTATCCTCCAGAACATTCCGAGTTGGGGATGCCAGGCCCTACCAGACACAAACACGGCACTCAAATCATCCACGTTATTTTCCTTGTTCTTCTCCAGAACTAATGTATTTTCACTGTTCTTGAAGTGGGAAGAGAGCAGGAATTAACCACAGGCAACTGGAAAGGCATGAAAACCCCACAGAGCAGGTGTTTCAACCCTAAAGCAGGTGTTGGCAATCTTAAAAAGTGAGTCCAAACCAATTATCATTAGGATAAAACCAGCAATTATACAAATAATGTGAAACTGTAAAATCAAACAAAACCCATGGTTATTGACAACTCAAAATTGATCCATCTGAAATGAGGGAGTAGAAGAATTGTGGAGAACCAGCAGAAGAATAAAGAAAATGAGATTTCATCTGGACAAAGGCAAAAAGAAAAAGGAATTACATGCAGCTTGAAATGAGATTCAGCTCTGAGGAACAACAATATTAAAATGCTCCTCATTTTAGCAAACTCTTAAGAAAAACCCCAAACAAAACAAAACTCAAAAATCAGAGAGAAAAAAAAAGAATATTAAAAAACAAGAAGTTATATAAGAGGCTTATGGAGTAAAGGGATTTTTTGCTGCACTTTTTGAAGGAGAGATCTGAAAACTGCAGGACACACTTGGTTAATGGTGAGACAGCACAAGATATTGCATCCTTCTGGGGCTGACAGACAAAAGTTATGGAGGAGGTTTTGAAGTGAAAGAGGGGTGTAAAATGAATAAAAATTGGATCAAATTAAGACGAACAGGAAATGTGTATTTTTTCAGGTGATGAGTGACAGGACAAGAGGAAACAGCCTCGAGCTGTGTCAGGGAAGGTCCAGGTTGGACACGGGGCAGAATTTCCTCATGGAAAGGGTGGTCAGGCCTTGGACCTGCCCAGGGCAGGGCTGGAGTGCCCATTCCTGGAGGGATCAAAGCCCTGTGCATGTGGCACTTGGGGACACAGGGCACTGGTGGCCTGGGCACTGCTGGGGAATGCTTGCACTCAATGGACTCAGAGTTTTCCAACCTAAATGATTCCATTACTGTATTGATTTTGACAAGAAAATAAGGAGAATGTTTGACATTGCTGTGATAACTCAGCCCATCCCATGACAGCTCAGTTTCTGTCATGGAGAAACCTGAGGATGAACTGGACCTCAACAACAAAGTGAGAGCAGAGATAAGAACACACCCAGCTCACCCACTGCTGCCAGCTTCAGCCACTTTTATCATGGAAACAGCACTAAAATGAAAAGAAAATGCAAAAGAGTCATCTCCTTTCTCTGTCCTCTTTTGGGTCACTACAACCACGAGCAGCCCCTGGTTCACCCAGCAAGGGGGGGATTCCACAAGAGGGTGGTGCTCAGTGACCTGCACAGGGCAGCCCTGGCTGGCAGGAGGGGCATGGAGCCCTGGTCACTTTGGGCACTGAGCCCTGGCCACCCTGGGCACAGAGCCCTGGACACATTGGGGACTGAGCCCTGGTCACTTTGGGCACTGAGCCCTGGACACATTGGGGACTGAGCCCTGGCCACATTGGGGACTGAGCCCTGGCCACCCTGGGCACAGAGCCCTGGACACTGCCCTTGGGCACTGAGCCTTGGCCACCCTGGGGACAAAGCCTTGGCCACCTTGGGCACTGAGCCCTGGACACCCTGGGGACTGAGCTCTGGACACCTATGGGGACAAAGCCCTGGACACCCTGGGGACTCAGAGCCCTGGCCACCTATGGGGACTCTGCTCTGGCCACCATGGGCACTGAGCCCTGGCCATCTTCATCAAATCAACCCTGGTGACCCTGGGGACTCAGCCCTGGCTGCCTTCAGCAAATCAACCCAGGCCACCTATGGGATCTCAAATCCAGCCACTTTGGGGACTCAACCCTGGCCACCTTTGGGGATTCTACCCTGGTTAGTGTGGGGACTCAGCCCTGGCCACCTTCTGGCAATTCAGCCTGGGTCACTCTGGGGACTCAACCATGCCCACCTTTGCCTACTCAGCTCTGGCCACTCTGGGGACTCAGGCCTGGCCACCTTCAGCAAATCAGCCCTGGTCACTCTGGGGACTCAGCCTTTGGGGATTCTGCCCTGACCCCCTCTGGCTACTGAGCCCTGGTCCCTCTGGGGACCCAGAGCCCCAGCCCTGCCCACACAGCTCACACAGAAAGGCAATTCCAGCCCCTGTGCTGCTCCCACAGCAGGAGCATTCCCAGCATTAGCATTTCCTTTATGCCCTCCCTGCTCATTTCTCTGTTCTAGGACAGACCAACAAATGCTCCAAAATTATTATTTTCATCCCATGATGGGCTCTGATTGTTTTCCAGCAGCTGTGCCTGTTTAATCAGAAATAGGAACTTTCCCAAGGCTCCGAGTTTCTTCTTTCAAGAAGTTGCTGTTGGTCTTTACAGAAAGCACTAACAAAGAGACAGAGCAGGAAAATTCACAAGTATTTACAAAATACTTTTTTCCTATCTTAGGATTGTGTTCAGTTTCCATGTCATTGAACTGCATCAGCTAGAAAGCCTCCAAGAGAATTTTCCTAATTTTTCTCCAAGAGGGTCTGCACAATTCATAAATATCCTACCCTTGATTTCTCCTTTTCCTCACAGCAAAATCCTTCCGTTTTCAAGCACTTCTGGTTTATTGTCATTTACAAAGCCACAATGCCCAGAGCAGCTGTGGCTGCCCCATCCCTGGGAGCATCCCAGGCCAGGCTGGACAGGGTTGGAGCAGTCTGGGACAGGGGAAGGTGTCCCTGCCCTAACTGGGAATTTAAAGTCCCCACAACCCAATCCAGTCTGGGATTCTGGGATTTTGGGATGCACATTTGCCTGCTGTGTGTGACGCTGGAGTTTCTGACTTGCAGGGAGTGACTCCATGGAGGAGGAGGATGAGGCAAGGCCTGGCTCAGGATGTGGAGGTGCAAGGGCAGAGCCGTGCGGTGCCCAGGAGCAGCCCTGGCAGTGTCTGAGCTCACAGAGTGACCCTGAGAGCCCCAAGCGCTGGGAACACCATAATCCTCTTACCAGTGACACAGGCAGAGAGAGCAGATTTGTGCTGCAGGGAACTGCATCTCCTCTCTTTGGAAAGCACCCTGGAGGTGCTCTGCTCCTGCTTTTCAGCAGTGATAAACATTTTGTGCACTTTGGGATTGATGCCTTCTGGAACCATCCGTGGGCTGTGCTGGTAGAAACGAAGGGTTTTGTTCCCTGAGATGGCTTTGTGGATGCTCCTTTTGTTACACTGGCTTTGGTTGTAGGTCTGAAAGAGAAGGTAAATAGATAAATCATCTGCTGATTGATTGTTTTTTTCACAGCATTTAATCAAAACTAAAAGAACACCTCAATGGCTGTGGGGTTTCTCATCATTTCCTGTTCCCTCAGCAAGGACTTGCTTGGTTTGGGGTTTTTAATGGACCAGAAGCAGGCACAGCACTGGAGAGTGAGAAAGGAGCACAGCCCTTGCCTGGGGGAAGTTACAAGCTGTCACTGATACAGGGATGATGTAAATTAGATTACATCAGAAACAGGGAAAGGAGCTCAAGCAAAAAAAAAAAAAAAAGCCTAAGATGATTTGTTGATGTCATGAGTGCTCTGAGTCCTTTTAATTACACCCCATTTTATTGTGCAATGGAGAAACCATGGCCAAGCTGGGGAATGTGAGGAGAGAAACTGGGGCCTCCCTCTGGAAGTGCCTCCCCAAGGAGGTTTGGTGCTCTGCTCCTCCCTGAGCCCCTGTGAGACCCTGAGTGTCCCAGGGGGCAGCTGCCACCTGACAGAGGGGATTCCAGGGAGCAAAAATAAACAAAATAAAATAAATAATAATTTCCCTGAATAAAACTGGAAGAGGCCCACAGCCAGCATTGATCAACCCCTCAGGCATTCCAAAAAACCCCAGTGTT